TTTCATTTTGCTACAACCAAAATAATTAATGAATGACTTACCGTTTATCCATTTATTCTGTTCAAGATTAAAGTTTTACAAAACATTAAGGCACTGTTTGTGAGAAAATATCACACACATACATACGGTGTGGGCACTGACGTCAACACAGGTGTTTGTTAGGAGGTCATCACGTGGTCACACATACAGCGTGGGGCTGTGAGATATTTCAACATACCAGTCGATGTCAAGTCTTGACCTTTGTTTATTAGTTACATTGAAAAACATTACATTTATAAATGGAGTGATTATTTCAAAGATTTTCAGTAGCATGAAGTATACAATTTGGTGATTTTATATAAAACTCAGATTTCATCATAGTCCAATATACTATCATGTAACTAAAATTAACAAATATCATGCATACCTTAACAAAACTTCAAATACTATAAACATCATAGTTTCTAATTTTATGTTATGAGATTTCATACAAATTATGTTTATACCCATTCAGTATGTAAGATTTGATATTGTTTATAAACAATAGTGAGCAATCAGTCAAAAGTTTAGTTTAATTATCTCATGTTATAATTTCCATAAAAGTGGCAAATCAAACTACAGCTTAGCAGATTTGATGGCAGCAATACAAGAGCAGCAAAAGAAACAAGAAAAACGGGAAAATAAACAAGAAAAAAACAAGAAGAACGACAAAAGAAACAAGAAGAGAGAGATTACAGCAGTTGTAGGAGGAAAAGGAAAAGAAATAAGAAGAGAGACAACAGCAGTGGCAAGAAAACCTGCAACAGTGGCAGCTCGAACAGCAAAATAAACAAGAGAGACTACAGTAGTGGTTGGAGGAGAAAGAAAATAAGGAAGAAGAGAGATTACAGCAGTGGCAACTGGAACAAGAAAGGAAACAGGAAGAAAGTCTCCAACAGTTGCAGGAAAGTCAACAGCAACTACAGGAAAGTCAACAACAGGGGCAATAAGTACAAATGGAAAACATTAGTAAATTTCAAAGCGAATTAAATACATTAAAAGATGATTTACCGTCTTTTACACAAGGAGGATATATTAGCCATCGACCTAATCAGCCTCAGACAATAGGAAGCCCCATCCAGACCCCACAGCTAAACCCTAATGCAGACATCTTCAGTCCTGTCAAAAGTCACATTCCAGACATGAGTGTAAGCAATATGGGTGATCTAGTACGAAGGAAGCCACAGAAATTCGATGAGAAGGCACCATGGGAAGCATACAGAGCACAATTTGAGCTGTACATGATTTAACAGAAAAAAGGCAAGAAGTTCGAATGGATAGTTTCTTGCCAGCATGCTTTCAATACATTGAAAGAAAAATGTGCCTTAACTCCACTTTTAAAGCTTCCAAATCCCTCACTGCCGTATATACTGGATTGTGATGCTAGTAATGTCGGAATTGGAGGAGTGTTGTCTCAGAAAGTGGGTGAAAACGAACATGTGGTGGCCTAATTCAGTAGGGTCCCGAATAGACAAGAGAGGAACTACTGGGTAACATGGAGAGAACTCCTTGTTATAGTAAAGAGTCTGACATATTTCCATCCTTAACTCTATGGGGTTAGGTTTACCATCAGGACAAACCATATTGCATTATTCTGGTTAAGATCATTAAAGAACCAAGAGGGACAACTGGCACGTTGGATTTGAAAGATAGACCAGTATAATTATGATATTGAATATAAAGAATGAAAATCTCATGGAAATGCCGATGGACTGAGCCGAAAACCCTGCAAAAATGACTGCAGACATTGCTGCAAATGAAAGGTTGAGCTAACCAGGTGCCAACAAGCTGAAGTCAAAGTGACTGAATGAGTTGGTGATGGTGAAGTGGAACCAAATATAGATATTAAAGCAGAGCAGGAGAAAGACCGAGATGTGAAGCCAATAATTGATTTTCTAAAAGCAAGTGTTTTGCACCCTGCTTTGGAGAAGGTGTCTAGCTTAAGCCCTGTGACAAAGGCACAATGGGACCAGTTGAAGCTTGAAGATGGTATTCTTGTCCGGAGATAGGAAACTACAGATGGGAAAGTGACGACCTGGCAAACAGTTATACCGAGAAAGTTACGGGAAGTTGTGCTGCATCAGTCCCATGATAGTTTAACAGGGGGACATCTCGGAATTAGGAAGACATTGAGTCATCTACGACAAAGATTTTATTGGATAGGCGAGATGTGGAAGAATGGTGCAGGACATGCAGTATAAGGGATGTGCCCCAATGAAGTTTTATCAAGTCGGTGCACCAATTGAAAGAGTAACCATTGACATTGCTGGTCCTTTGCCCCAAACTCGTGCTGGAAACAAGTGCATTTGTGTGGTGATGGATTATTTCACCAAGTAGCCTGAGGCATATGCAATACCAAATCAGGAAGCTACAACTGTAGCTTCGGCTATTAGTTATTTCTTTTTCAGATTTGGTATGCCATACGAACTGCATTCAGATCAATGTCA